GCAGGTTCATGCACTACACCGATGAGGAGTCACATACTGGTACGAAATGGCCTCTCAGAGCTTACAGGCTTCCAATGGTGGTCCAGATTAAATCGGTTCAAGGTTTCAATTTAATGGTACTGATATGTAGTTGATGTCTTAGTAGAACCACTGATACTTTATCCTGGGTAAATGTGATCAAAATACACTGGACATGCTGGCCATTATTTGGAGTAATGAGGAGAATGGTAGTCTCGTTTCCTTATGATTGCTTACTTACTATTCTTTAGCGAAGAATTATTCATCAAAATTTCTTTTAGAATTTTATTTAAATACCATTAGTCAAATATTTAACATCATGCTGATTTTCAACCTCTAAGCACTTACAAGTTAATGTAGTGAATATTAGTCAAACATCTAAATTGTACACTCAACTGTATAACTACACCTTACAAATACATGTGCTACCATAAAATTGTTTATTCTGACTGTATGAAAAAGTATTTGATAATGTGAGTTTCATGCAGGCAAATTTAATCTTTTGAGCATTCTATGAACTCCGATATAATGAGTACGATTTATTTAAATTCATAAGGAGCTGATTAAAGTTTTCTTATTTTTATTTAAACACATAAACATTGGTACAAGGAGGCACCAAATAGATATGCGCCACATAAATCATTCGATTTTTGTGAGGGCTGGGATACTGTCCGAGTGCCCAGACCGAAGCAGGTGGTTTTCTTAGGAGGCCATACTCGGAGCCTTTGACCTAAAGGTCTGATCCACAAGGCAGTGGAGATGCAGTCTCATGGTAGCCGGTGACCAACAATAGATTCATACCCCATTTATTTCCTTAGGATCCTGGAGCCCATGTGCACCATTGGTTTGGAATGAGGGTTTTCTTCAACTTACTAGGTGGACCCTCCATATCCACCATTCGAGTTAAAGTGACGTACATTCGCTTTTCATCCTTTCAATTTCGTAAACAACACCCCCGCCACAGAAAGGTCGTGAGTAGGACTCCCCTGACAGTGGCTGTATGCACGTGGCCACTAGAGAGCATTTCGAGAGGGAGAGCTGACTTTCCCCACACTCGACCGTACCAGGGCATTTGCGGACAAAGTCTTATGGAGAAAATGGAAACGTATTCTCAATATATATAATTGTTTTTTATTTATACACAAATATTTAGATATTTAACTGAAAAATATCCCCTTCCCTTTTATGATATTTATATGCAGCATTAAAAAGTACCAATATCAGTACTGATGTAAATAATTTCCCAAACATTAAAACAACTCATACTGAAAAATGCCATGAAACTGTTGTTGAAGAGAAAAGACTGTCAACTTCATCAAAACAAGTCAGTAGTTCAACGTTATCACAATGTGGAACTAATTTACATGCTCCATTAACTATTAATGATAATAATAATAATACATCAGTTCAAAGATGTTTTCCTGTGAAACGTCGTATTCTATCTAGAAAACTTAAAAATGATTATTCAAATAATCCTATTCATGTCAGTACTCAAAATAATTCATCTAACTCTACATGTAATAATTATAATAATGATGTATCATTCCTGATACAAGATAATCAATCAATCAATAATACTTTACATTCTAATGATAATGAAATCAAATATAATTACGAAATTTCAAATAATTTATATCAAAAAAATTCTGAACTACGTGCAACATGGACTTTAGATTCAAAGACATATCCTTCTCTTACCATAGATACTATTAATTTATCTAATTAATGGATTAAAATTATTATGTGTAAAGGATGATATTACAGTTAGTCTATGGTGTTGTTAATGAATGATCATAATAATAAGTGTTCGTTATATATATATAAAATTCATATCAGTTCCATTTCTCTCACAAACTTTAATTTCTATTCTAATACCGGTCTACTTTTTTGAACGTTTGGTTATTCATACATACATACAAATAATTACTGATGGATAACAAATGTTCAATTTGACTTTTAATTAAGTTTACATGATTTATACTTTAAACAATTTTTTAAAATACATTTCTCGCATAAATCTTTTCTTTGAATTATAATGATAACGTAACTCATTTACCAATAATTATAGGTTTGTAATACTACTTGATTGTCCAGATAAAATAAGGGGTTGAGACCTATGGTTGAATATTTTAATCAATAAGCTACTACTGCATTTGACTTAATGAGATGAGCTCACACTTTATAATGGGTAACATACAAAAACTTGTTGAGAAGTGCATTTAGTTGACGTAATGGAGTTTATAATAGCATATTTGACCTCAGTAAAACATGTAGATGCTGATTAATTTTTGTATATTGTACTTTAGTTTAGTCTTATTTAGATGATGCAATATTAAAAAGTCTGATACGAAATACATTGAGAATACGTAAAATTCGTACATGGGTATTAGCAGATAGACCAAAAGTGAAGCATTGAATTAGTATATTAGTCAACTCCGAGTACAAGTTGATAATTGTGCTTATATATTGTTCAAGTAGACAATCGATAATTAAGTTAAAAGACACGTAAATATCGACATGTGTGTATATAAATGCGTACGTTGGAAAAAGGTTAAAATTAACTATACAAGTGAATATAAAATAACTAATGATGTGATTAAGCATCTGATTGCCACATTCACGTTTATTTTTTCACACTGTTCAAATAAATGAGTAACACGAGTCATTACATGTTAAAGCTGGATACACTTTCTCAACCAGTTTCTATACAACTAAAATGCTATCCATTTATACTTATGGTCGGTGTCGTCAAGTTCAAAACTGAACAAGTTGAATTTAGAGTTCCATTACTCAACTAAAAAATGATACTGGATGGTGGGATTCATTTATTTCAAGCTCGTAATTAACACGTTGGACTAGGACGTCAATTCAAAGAACACATCTCGTTTGAATACATAATAACATTGTTGTGGATGCGCAGGAATAGACCAATAATTATCATGCTAAGTCCAATGGTGTCCTTGGACTTTAAATGGACATTTTCTATTGGTCGATATCTGTTCACTTGTGAATATTGTACAAAATGTTGTTTTCTATTTTTATGGTACGATGTGGTTTGTTTGCTTGGTATATAAATAGAGTATGTTTGAAACACAATGATTCATATCTCAGAGGTTGCGACTTGTCTTCTGGACTCAACTGGCTGGGTTATACAGGGAAGCAGGACCAATCAGAACCCTAGGTCGTTCTACGTGTTTGTGCGTCATTGGTCCGGTCAATAATTCGCTCCCCCTTAATCTGCAGCATTATTTTTCACAGTCATAACAATTGGCGACGGGGATGGAGAAAAATTTTGAACCTTGTAATTGGACGCGATTCAGGCTAATTGTTTCGACCAATCAGCATCCAGATTGTCACCAGCGTCCTTGAGCAACATTGGTCATTATTCCTACAGTTAATTTTCATTGCTGGTGCTGAAAAAAAATGACTACCTGTTCCGATCAATTGCAGCTTCTACTTGAGCAACAACAGCAGTGCTTAAAAAATAGCCAGTTGAATTTTTTAGAAAATTTACGCAGACTGTTGGTAAATTTTCCATGTTTCGGAAATGCAACAGAAGTTGGTAATTTCATTTCTCATCTGCAGACTGATCTGGAAAACAACTGCAGAACATATGAAGCTGCTTATAAAAGCCTCTGTGAATCCCGGACGACCAGTGATGTAAACGAGACAATCATTCATGATCCGCCCAGTTGTTCAGAAATGTCAAATTCAGAAACATTCCCTGTTGTGGGTTCAAATCCCACTGTGCCTGAAAGATGTGAGGTATCCAGCTTACAAGAAGAACCTCTCGTGTCAGAAAATGTTTCCCGTGCATCAAATAATGGTCAGAAATCTAATACGAATTTCAAAGATGCTGTTTGTTTTAGTGACCTATTATCCAGTGATAGAATTTTGAAGAGGTCTGAAGAATATGTTGCACAAGAATCAAACCTTAATGATCTCATGTCTGGTGTCGCTAATCCTCATCATCTAGTCAGTCTTAGTGAACCCTCTACTCAATGCGCGAAATATGCTTTAATTCGAATCAGACTAACTGTTGCTTGGGTATATGAGGACCCAACGTTATTTCGTGGGGGAGGATAAACCCAGAAAATTTCAAAATCCGGATATCAACTCCGGATCTTCAAAAAAAAAGGGGAGGTGTTGTGGATGCGCAGGAATAGACCAATAATTATCATGCTAAGTCCAATGGTGTCCTTGGACTTTAAATGGACATTTTCTATTGGTCGATATCTGTTCACTTGTGAATATTGTACAAAATGTTGTTTTCTATTTTTATGGTACGATGTGGTTTGTTTGCTTGGTATATAAATAGAGTATGTTTGAAACACAATGATTCATATCTCAGAGGTTGCGACTTGTCTTCTGGACTCAACTGGCTGGGTTATACAGGGAAGCAGGACCAATCAGAACCCTAGGTCGTTCTACGTGTTTGTGCGTCATTGGTCCGGTCAATAATTCGCTCCCCCTTAATCTGCAGCATTATTTTTCACAGTCATAACAAACATATTTGATTAATTACACCCTAATTGATATTATTTGTTTTAACCTTGGCAACTCTGATCCTTAAATTATTCAACGTTCCCAAAGGGATTTTGTTCATTAGTGCTTTAATAACTATCAGCTTTGTTCTACTACATTTTTATCGAGATTGGAATGGACAGTTGTTTTTTCTTACAAAGATCGCTTAACCATACTGAAACTATTTAGCAGAAATCCCTATAGTTCACCAGCTAACTTACTACTATATATGAGAAAAGAGCATATTGGCAATTTATTAAAAAATAAATCAATTAAAATAAACTAAATAACAAATTGTGTACATATAGTCAGTTGGGAATAGCTGACAAAAAAAATCAAACGTAGACAGAAATAAAGACTTCTTCGAACGAAATACCCAAGCGAGACCGGTGCATCATCTACTACATTCATATCTTAATTGTAAAAGGTGAAATCACAGAAAAGCAAGAAGCAATATTTTATTTTGGTCGGATTCCTAGAAGTTTGTTCATTTGACGATTTTGATTTGACATAGTATCAGTGACTCGATGAATTTGCGGCGCCATTCGATCAAGTTGGTCATTTTGACTTCTTAATTCATTATGCATACCTTGAGCTAAACTTTTTAATCGAGACATGCCATCGCCCATTAGAGCTAAATTGTTCTCAAACTCAACATCTGCAGATTGCGAGGTGTTGTTGGGTTCCTATTTACAGGAAAAAAGATATGATATTAACGGGAATGAAGTGAATTCATCAGTGATAGGATAGTTTGCATTAGCCAAGATATTATCAGTCAGAGATTCTAGGTTCGACCACAGATGGTCCAGAAATTGTTCCCCATGAATAAAGAAGTCTATCATCTAGGGGTCGTAATTTACCCCCCCCCCCCAGTTACCTATCTACTATCATATAAATGCCCTAGGAAGCACTTTATTACAGACAGATAATGAGGATTAAGACCGCTGCAAAACTCACATAGCACTCACCAAATGGCACTTCCTTCTGTACAAGCAATTGAGTTTGACGATTTATGATTTTCAATCTTTTGCACGATTAAGATGAATACGTCGTTACCTTCCCATATAAAATAGAATACTTAATGAAGGAAATTTATTCATATAGTGGAAAATAACGTCTACTTTTTGACCCAAAGCTCCTTTGCATAGTCACGCGCTAAGTGGCGTTTGTCAAGGTGACTGCTCTGATTAACGTCACGTAGCTTGCGAGTACTTACTATTAAATTTGATAGGTGCATACCAGATGTGACAATTTTTTAGCATATGATGACTTAATGCACCTATCTTTTATTCCAAACACGACTGTAATAACAGGATTCTAGGAGGAATGCAATTCGGATGTTAAAGCTGAGGAATTTCCACTGTACTCAGATCTATAGTGGTGAGTAGAGCTATTATTATTAGATAATGGCTTGGGATGGTAATTAACAAGTGATAGTGGTGAACAAGTTAACACAAGTTGTTCACTTTCAAATAATATATAGTAATAATTGTCTCCAATGAGATATGCTAAGGACTTACAATCATTTTTTGTTGCAATGTACTTGTGTACTGATTGCCCCATGAATTTTCACACTGAATTGATTGTCTCAGATTACTTTGATTTCTATTATTCAACGTCTTGTCCACCACCGAGGAGCTTTGAGGAACAGGTTGTGATTGTCTACCGGAAAAATACCCATGAAAATTAACATAAATTAGTAGTAATTTACAGTAAGTTGACCGGAAAGTCAAAACATTTGTGTAATTTCTAGATTAGAACTGATGAGTCCTCAGACTGTATTATCAAGTACCAACAATCTTTAGAATCATTATTAATGAGACTTAACTATGCAGAAAATTTGATTTGATGGCGAGTAGATTTGACTTCATAGCTTAAACATGTAAAAGAGAAACCATCCGGAGTTATTTATTTTTCAAATTATGATAAGAATGGAGTTCATATGCACAATTATTAATTATCCTATGATTTCCAAATACCAAATGAGATTCTATGTATCAAATAGTCAATAAACTTGTGATTTGATATTATATTTCAGTTTGAAACTATGAGATCTCATCTACAATGCTCCCACTGTAACCACTATTGTATGTCAATGAATAAAAAAATGAGATATATAAGTGGAAAACCCCTTGATAATCTCTACACTACTAATGGATGACTTTAACACCTCATCAATTTACGTTTCAATGTACTTAGATATTTAGTGCTAACTGATTAGATGAAATTATATACATATGTATACAGGTTTATCCGATTGATCTTCGAATACTAGACAGAATCGAAGAAACTGTAGCACATATATGTCTTGTTCAAAAGAAATAAACTATGAGTAGGTATGATTTCGACCAAGGTTCAAGAGTTTCTGATCACTCAGCTCTCTTCAAATGTGAAACATGAACATTTTATGATGAACTTGTAATCGACTACGTAATGTTTGTCTCAAACTAGTTGTCCCATTTTTTGTAAAATTAAGAATATGAGATTGCAACATTACGTTTGAATAAGTTATCACATTAGCCTATGTTATCAACCGATCACCGATTTCGCAAAAATCTAACTGACAAATTTGATGTGAGTAAACGACGTAATTTATAAGAAAAGATTAGAAAACATAATACCCAAGTAAATTGAGTTGTACTTGAACTTTCATGTATACATATACAAAAATACATGCACTAATTATTATGAGAGAGAAGTAAAAATGTACCGTCTGTACCAAAAAGTGTGATTAAACTACACACAAAAAATGTTATATGTTGAGAGATTAAAGTACAGAAAGTTACCACCGGAATTCAAATCTGTGATTCACTTTCGAATTTCAACTACTGAATTAATACAATTCTTAATCTATTTCATCAGTTTTTGGAATTTTGTAAACAAAACTTATTTAATGGTAGAATTCACTAGTTAAGCTAGACCGCCACTGAAAGCCTGGAAGCACTGGACGGTCGTTTCGTCCTAGTATGGGACTCCTCAGTAATGTGCACCCACGTTCCTGTATACGGAATTTGAACCCAGGGCCTTCGGCCTCAAGCGCGGACGCTTGACCTCTAGACCAATGAGCTTGCGTCCAACTACTAAATTACTACAATCTCCGCAAACCCTCATTCTGACAAAACTTATTTAATTAACCTTACTATACGATAAATATGGCTTACCATCAGTAAATAAACTCTTAATTTGCTAATGATTATGAATACTGTTCGTAATAGAAAATACACCAGCTAATAATAACAATAATAATTCGAAATCATATCTAAGCTCGTTGTATGGATATTAAATGTTAAAGTATAGTTAACAGAATAATTTAAAGTAATGGACGTGATTTCAGATTACTCATTTTCAGGATATCTAGTAAGCATCCTCATTTAACAGAAACTTTTTTTTCACTTTCAAAGACATCAATTCTCTTATTGGAAGTCAAAATAATAGAAAAGAAACATAGAAAGCAGATCATATGAATAAATTACTTTGTATCTAATATTTTAAAAGAAACTTATATTTTATTATGGCTTACATTTGTAATTTTACTTACCTTCGAGAAAAAATGTTTTTAAATCCACCGAAAACACTAGATAAAGTATTAATTTTCTTTTGACTATCTTTTTGCAATTCACTAATTTCTTCAAGCTTCTGTTCAGCACGATTTAATTTTTCTCCTTGTTCAATAAGTTCTTGGGCTGCTGCAACACCAATTTGTTCTGAATTATATATACTGGACAATGCACGTTGTTGGCTAGCTTTTGTTCTTGACTGACTATCTGAAATTTGACACTGAATAGCAGGAAGAAAGTCAGTTCATTCAATTTGTGTCGATATGATGAGAATAATCAGAATCAAATGAGTTAAAACTACGAATGTTAGATTAGTTCCGTCGATCTACGGTGGTTAAAAGTATTTTAAGAGTGATATATATTGTAGTAAACACATAGTTTAACTTTACGAATGAAAACACTTTTATTTACTAAAACATTGAACAATTCCTCATATCAGAGGTGAAGTGTAATCAGAAACAAGCCCTAATTAGGCATGAAATAGTGAATGTGGATTCAAATTTTTATTATGTATATAAGACATTAAAGTTCTTTTGAAAATTGTGTGCAGTTATACGGAACGACATTAGTCGCGAACATTCTCAACAAATATGGCTCAGTAATGAAGCACATATTTGAATACTTAGATTTGAGTAATACCTGTGTACCTGTTAATGATACTAACCGGCTGGGATACGACAAAAGCATAAGAGGTTTTCATCAGTGAGTGATCAGATGTAGCGAGAATACCATTTTAAAAACCATACGTTCTGCCAAGACAATGAAATAATGAAGAATCATGCGAAATTGGTGTAGAACCCATCCTTCATAGTGATTACAGCAAAAGCTTGTCGATGTCAGGGAGACATGTCTCAGTAAGTACAGGGGAGTTTAAATCCACTGACGTTTAGTTCGAGTAGTTAAAGTATGGTTAATGAAACAAAAGATGCTAATTCTACTAACGCAAATAGATCCATAAACTGACATCCTAATGTGCCATCTTGGCTAATCTTGAGCCATATCACAAAACACCTGCAACCTGTGGTCCCAGTACTTGTGTAGACCTTAACAAGGTAGTCTAAACTCATCAATAAGATTCACTTCAGCAGTTGTCTCCAAATGCCCTGGTACGGCCGAAAGTGGGAAGAGTCCGCTCTCCCTCTCGAAATACTCTCACACGGCCACGCGTATACAGCCTCTGCCAGGGAAGTCCTACTCATTGCCTCCTCGTGGCGGAGGTGTTGTTTACGAAAATGAGAGGACGAAAAGCGAATGTCCAGCGCTTTACCCGGATCCCAAACCAATGGTGCACATGGGCTCCAGTATCCTGCGGGAACAAATGGCGTATGAACCAATCGTTGGTAACCGGCTACCATGGGATTGCACCTCTTTACGATGCTCCACTGCCTTGTAGGTTAGACCTTTAGGTCAAAGGCTCGGGGAGTGGCCCCCTAAGATAACCACCTGCTTCGGTTTGGGCACCCGGGCAATATCACAGCCCACACAAAAATGATGAACTCTCTATGTCTATGGAAACTACTTTTCTCGCTTCCAAAAACCATCAATTGATTCAAATTATTATCATTACTATTATTGTCATTATTAATATTATTATTATTATTATTGCTACTATTATTGTCATTATTATTATTACTATTATTATTATTATTATCATCCACATTATTCACCCTCTTTTATACTTATACAGCGGCTCGTCTTTGGTGGAAATTCGACTGTATCTAAACGTTCTCGAGTCACTGTCCGGTTGAAAATTGTATGTTACCACCGAATATGAGTACTCAAGCAGTTTTTCTGAAACCACGTGCGCCATTCAAACTGGCTGCCTTCAACGTTCGCACACTTATGCAGGTCGGACAACAGATAGGGCTGGCTATGTCTTTGGAAAGTCTTAATATCGATGTCTGCTTTCTATCTGAGACCCGTATTCAAGACTATGGTGAAGTACTAAAAATTCGCTCTTCATCTGTCGCTTCGAAAAGCTTGTTTTGCGTGCGTTTATCCGAAAACCCTGTGGCATCTTCGTCTGACCTTGCTGGCATTGGTGTCACACTAATCGCTAGAGCTGAGGCAACACTAACCGATTGGATCCCAATTAACAGTCGGTTATGTGCTGTTAGATTAGAAAGTCCCATCGAAGTGAGAAATTGGCGTGAGAAACTATGTCTTTTCGTCATCTCCGCCTATGCCCCGACAGATTGCAGCTCGGATGCAATCAAGGATGAGTTTTACCACCAGTTAACTGTTCTTCTCCAGAAAGTGCGTTCGACAGATATTGTAGTACTAGCCGGAGACTTGAATGCTCAGGTCGGGCGTCTAGGCACAGAAGAGTCGTTTAGGTGGCCGATGGGGACTCGTTGGTCGCAGGTCAGATAACGGGGACCGTCTACTGCAACTGTGCACAGACCACAACCTGTTTCTGGCTAGCACTAACTTTCGGCACAGTCATCGCCGATGTCCCACCTGGCGTCATCCCTCTGCATCTCAAGCCTGGACTCAGATTGATCACATCGCGATCAGCTACCGCTGGCGTGGTTGTGTACAAGACTGCCGCTCCTTTTGGAGTACCTATCTGGACTCTGACCATGCCCTAGTCTGCGCCAATCTTACCTTACTTTTCAGTGGCCAACGAAGTGACTGCCACCAACGGATTGATGTTAGCAATCTGGTTGCAACTTCTGTTGCTAGCAAGTATCGAACCGAGCTAGCCTCTAGGCTAGCTACCATTTCACCGAAAAGTATAGATGAGCATTGGTTGCAATTGCATGACGCCATGAAAATGGCGAGTACAGTCAGTTGTGGGTTTGCGAAACATCCCGCTTATAAGCACTGGGTTTCTTCTGGTTCCTTACAACTCATTGAAGCCCGTCGGTCTACTCCGGGTGACCGTGAGTTTGACCACAAACGAAGGATGTTACGTAAGTAAATTGGGCAAAGCTTGCGTAAGGACCGAGAAGCCTGGTGGTCGGAGCGTGCTAATGAGTTGGAAGCAGCAGCTGCATCTGGTAACTACCGGAAGCTCTTCCAACTCATCCGAGCCACTGGCAGCAAGAAGTCTGGTGTGAGCGAAACCATCTGTGAGAATGACGGGATGGCAATCACTAACATCCATCGACGTCTTGGACGATGGGCAGAATTCTTCGAAGGGCAGTTCAACTGACCTGCTGCTCCAGCAACATCGGTCAGACTGTCCTGCCCTCCATGGTCGGTGACGACTGATCCACCAAACGAGGAGGAAGTCCGCAAGGAACTCCAACACTTGAAGCGTTACAAATCACCTGGTCCAGATGACTTACCTCCGGCTCTTTTTAAAGATGGTGGTGACTTTCTGACTAAGGAATTAACGACGTTGTTTACAAAGGTTTGGGAACTAGAGGGTGTACCAACGTCATGGAATGAGTCGATAGTCGTCCCTATCTTTAAAAAGGGTTCACGTCGTTCCTGTAACAACTATCGAGGGATAAGTCTACTTCCGATTGCGTCCAAGCTATTGGCTTCCGTCATACTTCGTAGGTTGTTCAAAACCCGAGAAAGATTGACTCGCGAGGAGCAGGCTGGGTTTCGTTCTGGTCGAGGATGTATTGATCATATCGTCACCCTCCGCCAAATGTTAGAACACCGCCATACTTATCAAAGGCCAACAATCGCAGTGTTTCTTGACATCAGGGCTGCCTTCGATTCGTTGGACAGGACTGTTCTCTGAGATTGTCTATTGAGGAAGGGTGTGCCTGAGACGTTTATTAACATCCTAAAACCCTATATAAAAACACCTCAGGCAGAGTGAGGGCATACAACCACCTCTCTCCATTGTTCCATTCGAGCAGTGGGGTTAGACAGGGTCGCCCAATCTCACCATTCCTCTTCAACTTTGCCATCGATGATATTCTGGAAACAGCTCTGATGGACGTAAGTAATGGTGGTGTGGATCTGTTGCCTGGAGAAAGACTTCTCGACCTTGAGTATGCGGATGATATTGTCTTACTGTGCGATAATGCCCAAGGCATGCGACCCGCACTTAATCAGTTGGCAATCAGTGTCCGTAGGTATGGTATGTGCTTCGGACCTTCGAAGTGCAAAGTACTTCTACAAGACTGGCAGGATTCTAATCTTGTACTCACCCTGAATGGTGAGCAGATAGAAGTAGTCGAGAAGTTCATGTATCTGTGTAGCTGCATAAGTGCTGGTGGGGGTGTGAGTGATGAGATCAATGCACGTAAAGTGAAAGCCAGAGCGGCTTATGCCAATCTGGGCCACCTTTGGCGCCTTCGTGATGTTAGTCTGGCTGTATAAGGTCGGATTTACAACGCGTCGGTGAGAGTAGTTTTGCTCTATGCTTGTAAAACCTGGCCTCCGAGTTGAGGACGTTAGACGACTCTCTGTGTTCGATCATCACTGCCTCCGAAGGATTGCTGACATCCAGTGGCAACACCATGTCAGTAATGCAGAGGTTCGGCATCGTGTGTTCGGGCACAGAGACGATAATGCTATTGGTGTCACCAGAGAATTCCACGTAGTGCATTATTTGCCGACTGTGGGACTGGTTGGAAGAAGCGGAGAGGTGGTCAGTGCATGACATGGTGTCGTGGTATGAAGGAAAGCTACACAGGATTGGCTTCTGTCGGTCCTTCACGACTCCCTGGTTGGGGTCCGAGAGATGGTGCTACACAGTGGCCAGAGACGTTATCAGATATGGCTCAGAATAGAAGCCAGTGGCGATCCTGCTGTAACCTTCTTTTACTTTCTTCATAAAAAGTGGTTGTGTCTTCCTTAACTGAAAGATTTCTTCTGATTGTACCTTTCCGTTCCCTCATTATTACTATTATTATTACTACACTACCTTACATCAACCTCTTCGTTATTGTTCTCTTTTTTTTTACGCTCCTTATCTTTTTTTCTGTTTCTTTTCGAATTCTTATTGATTTGTGTGGCGCATATATATTGGTGCTCTCTTGTACCAATATTTATGTGTTCAAATAAATAAATAAATAAATAATAAAACACTTCAGCAATTAATGATTTCATTAACTGATGGTATGTATTAGTTTGGCCGTTTTTAACTTTCCTTCCAGCATACACCTTTTAAAACCAAAATCATATATCGAGGTTTGCAGTGGTTGAACGTATGCAATACAAGTTTTAGCCAACTCAGTCGATGAAGATTTGCAGAGTCATCGACTGACTGATAATTTAAATGATCATTATACGCTTTGTTGACTTTGACTGCTGAGAACTTTCATTTCAAATTTTTTCTTCGGCTCCAAGTTTAGCCACAAGGATGAAGACACCACATCTTTAATTCTGAGAAGGCAGATTTATGACTCGAAACATTCCCAATACTCGTGAGTATTTTGTGATATATGTAGTAGTCAGGTTCTAACACCAAATATACGGAGAACATACGAAAGTTAGAAACCAAGTGAAACGAGTTAAGCTATAGGTATACCTTTTAATTCTCGCAGCTTGCTGCTCTTTGATGTAATCTCGAAATTGCTCTTCAAAAGTCCGAAATGAGGGTTAAAGAATTACTGAGGCTAGTGTTTTAGACATTATATCAGTGAAACTGATTTCTTAGTGGTTATCGCATGCCAAATTTTAACCACCACAAACTAGAACGACCAGCAATCAGGACCAATCAGACAGAATTACACCCAATTCTCATGTGTTAGCTATCTTATTTAACTTACTCGCTAAAACTGGGCCGCCATTTTTGGGGGTCTCTGTTGTTAGGCTCTAAGGGCTCGACACTCCCTCGTTTTAGGCGATCTATAGCACTCAACCTCATTAGAAGGTGAGAACCTGTGTTAATTCGTCATTCCGGTTAATTGATGACCAAGGATAGTCAGTCTCATTAATTTATTGGAACTGTAATTTTTATATCTACCCATTTCTCCATAGACTCGGTCTCTGTTTGAAGATATCGGTCAGTTAATACTAGTCATGAAAGTTGGGTGCGCGAAGCGGTTTGTATTCAGCCCACATATCTATGGAGTTGTGGACAATTATCCGAGAATCTACTGTCTCACAAGTAAGAAAGTCCCGTTGCCATTGTTAACTCCGAAACTTATTTTCGATAAAGTACATTTTTAGGTAGAAATCACTGGATAAGTTTGAATATTAAATAAATAGTGGATTTATGAAGAAATTTACATGTCTTTAACTGGATAAAATACCTAACGTCTTATAAATGATGATTCGAGGAACGAATTAGTCACATTTGTAAAAAAGCCTACTTGCACTTCGCTTCGTCGGCTGATGTGGTTCCTGCGTAGGGCCAACTTGGTGGTTTAGAGGAAGAAGAAAAACCCCGGGCATCTTCATCAAACGGATTAAAGGACTTTCTCATGACCTGGGAAGCCTTAATCTACCCACTCTTAGAATGGGTCAAATGTTCAAGTTGTTGTGGATGGAATGAAGAAGCTTTCGCTTAACGGGCTTCCGTGCTAGTAGCAGTGAATCACCAATACTCCAGGGGAAGCTAGATACATTATCGTAAAAAGAGGAAAAGTAAAAAAAACTTGGTAATTCATAATAAGATAATGTCCTTAGTCCTTAAGAGTATATCAAGTTTCCTCTTGTATGTCCACTCCCAAAAGTCGCTTGGAGTTAGTTATTTTCAGCAAATTGTAAATATTTTTATATAGACTGATAGTATATTACAAGTATTATTTTAGTACATAACATTAGTTATATAAATAAAAAGGGGAATATTGGCTGATGTTCAGGGATTCTAATATAATACTCTGACAATATAGATCTTGTCTACATAGTTAATTATCGACAAAAGTGTACGTTTTTGTTGTTTTTTAAGAGAAATTTATTATTTTCCTAATTTACATATAACCTGATATTCTGATGCAAACCTGTTTTTTCGGTTCGGAGAAACGAATAAGTGATCAACATTGAGGTTAGATTTAGAGTACTAGCCAAAGGTGCGATATCAGTCAATAAGTTTATAAATCTTTATCGACTAAGGTGGTTAGGGACATTGGTTACATATGCCTAACTACCAATCACTTTGATGGGTAATGTTTGTTGTTATGGAAGAAAGGCTAGAGGATGAGACCTAGGGGCGACTAAATCTAGATGTAACACCAGTCCATATAGTCATTAACTGAGCAATGTTGGTAGATTCAGACTACTTGGTTAAGCTCCACGTGACAACCGCAATCAATGGTTGGAGACTTTGGGTTTAATAGTCCAGAATAATTTACAATAATTCAGACACATTCACTTTATCTCCCTCTCATTCTCGAATCCTAATATTCCTCCGATACACACCTTTCCATTTTATCTTTCCGAACGATATTTCCAATGCTCAGTTTTTCTCGTTATCACTGCTACTACAATATTCCTATTTCATTTGCAATTTGGCTTGTGTACACAATTACTTGTATTCATTAGGGTGATCTGTTGGTGCTTATTTCGAAAACATTAACTCTTTATCTATGTATTCGGAACACTTTATTATGACGTTTATTTTTTTCTTTTTAGAAAACGTATGAAGATTTAGCTAACAGTTTAGGACTTCATGTCGTAGAATTTGCTGCTGATCGTGATATGTATCCGCATGTATTGGCATCTCCTGCATGTGGTCATGCCAATGATTTTAGCAAGAATAATGTCGATGAGTCTGGTGATTCGTCTGCTGTGATCCACTCAAAATCTTATGAATTACCTCAAAGACTTCCACTGATAGTTCCACAGAATCCGACACATCATAAACCGCGTAAACCCATACCTGAAGAACATGAAAATTTCTTGGATGATTTAATTGGTGTTGATGAAGACACAACCACAGAAACTAATATTTCGGAATTATTAGCAGCAGGTGAACGTGATTTAGATGCTCTTATGTTGGGAGGACGCGTTCCACTAAAGAAGAGTTCATCTCACCATGGACAAATTACTAACCCCATGGTTATTAAGCGAAAAGCAGAACGTCATCGTTATCGTAACCAGCAAGTTGTCAGACTTGAGAGAAACGCTCATATAACATTGTCTGTAAATTCTGTTTAACTATAAAAGCTTGTATATATATTTCTAGCATAAAGTTTTAATAGGTATTTTACTTCATATTTTGATTGTATTCTGTGTATTTACCGATACTTCTGAAGGATACACTTCATAGACATACATAGGTTTTGATAGGCTTCAACCGAAAATAATAGTGAGGATATTGACGACTTAAAATGCTAGCATTACGAAGACGTGTCTGCTTATATAATTTTCAGTTTGAAAGCTAACTCTAATTTCTCAGTCTTCTACCATTCAAATTTAATAAATGTTGTGACGTCTAGCATCTTGATAGAAGTATGGCTCATCTTTGCTTGATTATAACACATTAATGACGATACCTATAATCAAATCAACGTAAATTGAATACTTTGATGCTTGGTAACCTTTATGACTCAGGTAATTTCGATGGATTTTAAATCAATCTCATCCTATGTATTGAGTTGCATTTTGATAGATAAATATTAGATATTTCATAGTTTGAATCAAATTCCGCCTGTTCTTCTAGAATTACTACCGGTCTCATGCCCGGGTAAAAGAGGAGGATTGGGCATGGGGTCAGAAACCCTATCCCGTAGAAAAAAATCATGCTAAAAAACACCAATCAGATTAAATAAATTAAACCAGTTAAACTCTGCCGGGGGGTTGAAGGAAGAATTATGACGCCTCAGGATGAAAGCCGAAATTCTTCGCAAGTCACGTGGCCGATTCCCCTTCTAACAACCAGAGCAAGAATTTTTATAGGCACATGGAACGTCCAGACAATGTGGGAAATAGGAAAGACTAGTCAACTAGCAAAGAAAATGGGGAGATACGAACTGGCAGTACTCGGAATCAGCGAAACACATTGGACCCTAGCTGGACAGCAAAGGCTAGATACGGGGGAGGTGCTCCTGTACTCCGGTCACGAAGAGGAAAATGTTCCACACACTCACGGAGTTCCTCTTATGCTGTCTGAAGAAGCACATGTCCACCTCATCCATAATTTCTCCACCAAGTATGATTGGATTGGTGTTCTCCGTGTTGTATTTGAGGATCTTGCTTTCTCCCTTGTGTGTCACATATAGACAAACGAAAGCAATGCACTGGACTATGAAGATAACTGTCTTTTCGAAAAGTTGTGTAACGCTATAGAGATATTTTTAGTTGGAGCCCATGAGACAGATGAAATCAGTACATGAAGAGTTTCTGGTACACAGCATAGGATTAGTATTAATGGCTCTGATATATTCCTTAGATCTTGGACATATTATTCGATACCCTTTACTGTTTGGTTGACCAATCTTATTTAGGACATTCTATCAATAGTTAATCCCAAGAAAACCTAGGTTATTGTGGCTTGTGGAGCATCATATATTTCGGAAACTTTTCCCCATAGGCGGGAATATTATACTGAGTTTCACCGACCAATTTCAGTAAAACAATAGAAGCGGTGATGGCAACATAAGACATATTAATCAGCGGTAGAAAACCACGTTGAATTTGTCTCTCGAGAAAGCAATTTCATATTGAAGACCGTATTGACTTGAAGGTTGACAGGAACTCCACTGAAACTTTAAGATGTTATTGTTTCGTAGTTTGTTGAACATTGGAATCCCTAATATTTTAACGTTTATTATGGCAATTATGTTGGCTATTCAAGTTGGTGTTAGTAATTGACTGAGGTAAAAGTTATGAATTCCGCTAACAAATCTCAAAACGACGAAGTTACATAAAACAGGAAAGTTAAATCACTGTGTTGATGCAGCAGCTTCATGATCAGGACACTGTGCTTATAAAGGACAGACAGGCATCGTCAACACAGAAACTAACACAAATGTATATTTGCCCAAATTATCACATCACATTAGAACTTACTTATGAAGTGTGTTCCGATTACAACATGGCAAATATTTCGTATGATCGGTTGTGTCAAACGCCTAATGTGTTTCTGAATATGTTAGTCAGCCAGACGCAACATAGTACCTAGCACATTTACATCGGTTCAAGTTGCCATACCCTATTAATACGAGATAAATTTTCAGAGTAGTAGAATTAGTAACACGATTATGGTAGCAAAATACATGAGGCATGCAGGAAACAATTCTAAAGCACAAATCTATGAAACAATAGAGAAAATTTGATTTTAGTGAAGCTTTGTTCTCTGAGCTGGATGGTTTGGTTGTGCAGGTTTCATCGTTCTTCTGAACGAAATCATCAGCACAAACTTCAGCTACAAATCTTCTCCACCATTTCAAAACCATATGAACGTAGTATGCTTCTCTTTGTTCGAAAATATGAGAATTTCGCCAAAAGGCATGCTTCCACTCGAGAACAACTGTATTTTCTCCACGAGTGTCTTCGCCAGCATGTTCTACCAAAAAGTGTTATATACAGACCTCCAATCAACTGCCTATTGGGATGGAGAATATCCGAGCAGTGTTTTAAAGACACCTATGATCGAATACTGAATGTTAGCTACAGTACAGATGTATCATTGTTTTATATAAACCTAGTATTTAGGAATTTCCGACATCAGACAGTGATCTTTGCGTACTAGCCCTATGAGTTAGCTCATGATGAATGTTGAGCTCATTTCTAACTATCTTCAGAAATACATTGCCGTTGAATAAAAATAGAATTCAGCGAATAAAATTTCCTTAAGCTGTACATTTATATTTATAGCTGTTTGGCAAATACATAGGTCTTTAGAAAGATAGAAAAGATTGCATCACAAATAGATTTGAGATTTCAAATCAGGTTCCGTAATAAGCATGGGGTTAGAGAAGAATAGTAGATGGAAAAAGTCAGAATTATGAGAGATAATTGTATACTTGACAGATATATAGCGGTAAATTAATCCCCAAATTAGGTGGTTCTGTAAGTCTTTAACACTGATGCTGACCTCATTAGTTTTTCTAAACACGCCTAACTGAAGGACCTACGTGTAAAGGCGTCGTCAAACTCAGAATACCTGTGGCATCTTGAGATAAGAAAATTGAGAAACGCAAAGGTTATAATAACAAATGAATAGTAATCATGAAACGTTGTTAAGGGATAATGATAACGGATCACGGTTCAAAGTTACAAAACAGTAATAAAAGCAAAACAAATTCACTTGCTGTTGTGTGGCAGGTTACATTGGCCGCACGAAGCGATCACTACCAAAATGCATCTTAGAACATTACCCGACATGGCTTTTAAAATGGAGGGCGAAAAGCAATCACCAGTTCAACCTTGAAAATGTTGCTTGAAAAGTCTCCCTTCAAAATAATCTAATGGAGGCTTAATCAAGAACCTATTCACTGATGAAGCGTTGGAGATCAACCAGTCCAAGCCCGAACTCTACGTGCAAAAACGATACGTCCAACCACTCATCCCTTATTAATATGGCGTGTTGTTGTAGAATTTTTGATTGAGACCATGAATCGACCATTGTCAGACCATCATTGGAAACTCAGAAATACTGGACTTTTTCGTCTTGGCATGGGACCCCTCAACCGTGCGCACCCACAACCCCGCACGCGGGATGAGAACCCAGGTTCATTGGTCTCGTGCGCGAACGCTTAACCTCTAGACGCCTAAGACAGCATCGACGCCCAACTTCAAGCAAGCCATGTAATTGTGCGACCATCTTGCACTGTCTGCGGTAGATACCTGACACGGATTAGCCTCACTGGTCACGATCTCTCACTAAAACTTCGAGAATTCCCACACGAAGCTAGCTACTGGTGAACACATAGTAGTTATTAGTATGGGGCTAGGATTCTTTCTTTGTCTTAATTCCCATCTGCAGCACTATCCAGTTATTGTAAACTTTACATTTCTCATTTCTATCCATATCCTTCAAGGGGATAGTTATCTCATAATTCTGACTCGTAAATTATTTTCTATTTACTATTCTTCTCTAACCCCATGCTTATTATGCAACCTCGTTTGAAATCTCGAATCTATTTGTGACGCTATCTTTCTATAGACGTATATATTTACCAAACAACTATAAATACAAATGTAAGTAAGGATTACATCGAAAATGAAATTCTCTTCGTTGGATCCTCTTCTATTTTTATGTATTGATCGTTCCGATCTTATAGAGGCTTGTCACTTTGTGATACATGTTACCATAGATCTTAAGAGCAGCCTGATAATACATCAATTTTGTGTGATAATCTTTTAATATTTTAATTTTACTTTTAAGCTAGGAATAATGTATTTAAGGATAAATCTAGTTATCAACTTTTTAAAGGTACTCTCGAACATATCTGGTTGGAGTTTTTAGCAAGGTTTTTTTCTCTGGTGTAGGGTTGCCGACTCCATGCCAAACCCTTTTCTTTTACCCAGGCTTGGAACCGGTAGTGACTCTAGGAGAGCTACAAGAGATGAACAAATCTACTGAAGTTTATTTACTGACGGTTGATTAAATTTTATTGATTCCCAAAATGTATTTTCTCCTGTCTTTCTTCTATTATAGGATAGTAATATCTAATTGTCTTTTTTTATCACGATATTTAATACGTTATGTTTTTAATCATAATTTTAAAAGACAACATGCAATAATATAAATGAGATGAGTTCATATTTTATCAATCAATAGTATTATGTTTACAGAGGATATCGTGTGAACTAACATTAAATTAAGAAGTTTTTTAACACAACTTACGAGATCGAACGTTAAAATTACGAATGTATGAATTGATACTTTACATTTACGAAAGTCATGATACACTTTATGTTTTATCATAATAAGGTGTGATCGGCTAATAAGTGCGGACGGTAGTTATTTGTTAAATATTCTCCTAGCCCTGTTAATTGTTACAAGCATGTTTAATGCATGAGAAGAAATTCCTGGGAAGAGTATCCAGTATTAATCCGTGACAATCGTATCATACGTTATTGAATTGTTTCCTAGTGTTCGCTTTACCAAAACTGTTGTTTCCGGACGAAGAATATGTGAATAGTAACCGCTAAGATCTATTTGTGGACATTTATTACATATATTCTTATTATATAACCATTAAGTAACTATACTTTATGTATATTCATATTCTTTATATTATGAACTTTATTTGACCTGTTGACTATTATTATACGATTTAATATTCTTAAGATATTCCCAATTTATTAATAACCGTCTCTTATAATCACAGCCAATTTTTGACTTGATCTTGTATAATTGTTATTTTCTATTTTATGGTATGATGCAGTCTGGTTTGATTGTATATAAACTCAGTATAACTTAAATGTATGATTCGTATTGTGGAGGCTGATATTAGCGTTCTGGACTTAAACCGGCTGGATTAGGAGAAAAGCTATCATCTCGGTAGATCAATAAGAAAACTAGACTGCTTGTATAAGTCAGTGTCTTTAATTGGTGGTCATATCACGTTACATAATTAATCCAGCATAAGGATAAAACAAAAACTCTACGGTAATATCTAGCTATACGTTATTATTTCATAGAAATATTATTTAGCAAATATCTAAAACAATTAAGAAAAAGATGTCAGCTAGATATTATTGTTGTTTGGAAAAAAAATTAAAAACTTTACATTAAAAAATCAATTTATACACATAACGATTTCGATAATTGTAAATTAAGAAAATCACAATTAACATCATTCAAATGATCATCAAAATCAACAATTTGACGGTGAACTTTTAAATGTAGAATTTCTTTTAACTTTTTATTAACATTTGGATTAAATGTGTACCTGAATTCATGAACAGAATATTTACTGAAGTAGAACTTACTTTGTATCATTCCACTTCCAATCTGATTTGCAAAATACTGTAAAGTAGTTTCCAGTTAAACGATGCAAAGCATCATTTTTAAACTATTAAATTATCAGGTTTTTTTTACAGATCGTAACCGGATAATGTAACTTACAGTCAATAAACAAACGTTGCCACATTTTTCAGCTAACTTCTCACCAATTTTGCATGCAATACTTGTTGGGCTATATTTTTTACAGTGGAAAATGAAAAAATAACAAAATTACGTATTGCAATTAATGTATTCATTTGCTTGGAAATAACCACATATTTGAAGACCTTTAGCTGCACAATATGAGTCTACCTATCATTCAATTTTGATAAACATGAATTTTGACTAACATGATACAAAGCTGTTTCTAGCATTGGTGTCAAATTTATGACACTGTGAAACAGCGGAATATAGTCAGTAATGATTATTTGTGAATCACAGTTTTGATCACTTAAAAGAATACCATTGACGGAACTCTCTGGATGCTTGGCAGCATGTAAAACCATCTTTAAAAATGCAAGTTCACCAATATGTACTGCAGCTGACATTTCCAAACCAACCTAAAAATTAACAACTGAAACATTAAATTGTTTGTCTATCAAAAGATTTACACCAATAGAGGATTAGTATGTATAGAACTATAAAAAGTTAAACAGTACATTTCGGTCAGTCAGTAACAACGTAGAACTTTGTACGTACGTACATGAGTTTGAGTTGCCATATCACATTAGCACGGTACATTTAGCACTTTCAATTTTATTGCAATCCTCCTAGAAAGCAGGTGGATATCCCAGCAATCAAAACAAACTATAATCATAAACTATGTCTTCTGTATCTGAATTTAAATCACTTTGAGCAAATACAGAAACATACTTGGTGAGATTACGTTTGGTCACTGCTCAGAATGATGCTATTTCCCACGTTTTAAAATGATAGGTGTATAAATGTTTTTTTAGAAACTAATACCACACATTGTCTATGGTAGTAAACTCTTCAAGGAAATGACAAAGCAATAACTACAAAGACAGTGTCTTTTGCACTTTTGCTGTAAAAATATTAAGTCGCATCAGCAAGCAGATGGCTATTGAAGGACCGATACTAAGTGGATATCCATTATTGTTTGCAATTCGATGTAAACATCACACATTTAAGCTCATGGCTATTCCGAATAAAAATGTTTACATCACCCTACTACACAAACCGGAATTAAATTTCAAAATAAGGGCTCAGAACAGTTCTCAGTAGCATATATAAATATCATAATTAAACTTATCATTGTTGAAACGGAAATGTCCGCAAATAGCTGCTATTTCCTCACTAAAAATTCGTTGGTTGATGTTGACTGATAATTTTTTACTCATGACAAGCAATCATTTATTTGAAACATGGAACGCTGATTGGTGGTGACTTTAAAACTCACCTGGTACATATCTATGTAAAAAATCCTCGTTTTATTTATGAACCAGATGTTTTAGGAAGTTTATGTGGTAAGACTACCGAGTGACGTTTTATTTAATGCTAATAAATTATATTACCATCATGCCCCCAAATGCCCTGGTACGGCCGAGAGTGGGGAGAGTCCGCTCTCCCTCTCGAAATACTCTCACACGGCCACGCGTATACAGCCTCTGCTAGGGAAGTCCTACTCATTGCCTTCTTGTGGCGTGGGTGTTCTTTACGAAAATAAGAGGACGAAAAGCGAATGTCCGGCGCTTTAACCGGATTCCAAACCAATGGTGCACATGGGCTCCAGTATCCTGCGGGAACAAATAGCGTATGAACCAATCGTTGGTCACCGGCTGCCATGGGAATGCATCTCCTCACGATGCTCCACTGCCTTGTGGATCACACCTTTAGGTCAAAGGCTCGGGGTGTTGCCCTCTAAGAAAACCACCTGCTTCGTTTTGGGCACCAGGGCAGCATCACAGCCCACACACAAATAAAATGAAAGTGATGATATTTACTGAAAATTCTATTCTCACTTCGATTCACAGTCAAACAATTCACATTATTAATATTTGCTACGTCATTTACTCACTCTTTTATTCCCACCTTATGTATCCTTATTTTTCGACTTATACAGCAGCTCGCCTGTGGTGGAAACTCAGTTCTATCTAAACGTTCTCGAGTCACTGCCTGGTTGAAAATTGTATGTTACCACCAAATATGAGTACTGAAGCAGTTTTTCTGAAAATACGTGCACCATTCAAATTGGCTGCCTTCAACGTTCGCACGCTTATGCAGGTCGGACAACAGATAGGGCTGGCTATGTCTTAATATCGACGTTTGTTGTCTATCCAAGATCCGTATTCAAGACTATGGTGAAGTACTAAAAATTCGCTCTTCATATGTCGCTTCGAAAAGCTTGTTTTGCGTGCGTTTATCCGAAAACCCTGTGGCATCTTCGTCTGACCTTGCTGGCATTGGTGTCACACTAATCGCTAGAGCTGAGGCAACACTAACCGATTGGATCCCAATTAACAGTCGGTTTTGTGCTGTTAGATTAGAAAGTCCCATCGAAGTGAGAAGAAATTGGCGTGAGAAACTATGTCTTTTCGTCATCTCCGCCTATGCCCCGACAGATTGCAGCTCGGATGCAATCAAGGATGAGTTTTACCACCAGTTAACTGTTCTTCTCCAGAAAGTGCGTTCGACAGATATTGTAGTACTAGCCGGAGACTTGAATGCTCAGGTCGGGCATCTAGGCACAGAAGAGAGTCGTTTAGGAGGGCGATGGGGACTCGTTGGTTGCAGGACAAATAACGTGGTCCGTCTACTGCAACTGTGCACAGACCACAACCTGTTTCTGGCTAGCACTAACTTTCGGCACAGTCATCGCCGATGTGCCACCTGGCGTCCTCCCTCTGCATCTCAAGCCTGGACTCAGATTGATCACATCGTGATCAGCTACCGCTGGCGTGGTTGTGTACAAGACTGCCGCTCCTTTTGGAGTACCTATCTGGACTCTGACCATGCCCTGGTCTGCGCCAATCTTACCTTACTTTTCAGTGGCCAACGAAGTGACTGCCACCAACGGATTGATGTTAGCAATCTGGTTGCAACTTCTGTTGCTAGCAAGTATCGAACCGAGCTAGCTGCTAGGCTAGCTACCATTCCACCGAAAAGTATAGATGAGCATTGGTTGCAATTGCATGACGCCATGAAAATGGCGAGTACAGTCAGTTGTGGGTTTGCGAAACGTCCCGCTTATAAGCACTGGGTTTCTTCTGGTTCCTTACAACTCATTGAAGCCCGTCGGTCTACTCCGGGTGACCGTGAGTTTGACCATAAACGAAGGATGTTACGTAAGTAAATTGGGCAAAGCTTGCGTAAGGACCGAGAAGCCTGGTGGTCGGAGCGTGCTAATGAGTTGGAAGCAGCAGCTGCATCTGGTAACTACCGGAAGCTCTTCCAACTCATCCGAGCCACTGGCAGCAAGAAGTCTGGTGTGAGCGAAACCATCTGTGAGTATGATGGGATGCCAATCACTAACATCCATCGATGTCTTGGATGGTGGGCAGAATTCTTCGAAGGGCAGTTCAACTGGCCTGCTGCTCCGGCAACGTCGGTCAGACTGTCCTGCCCTCCATGGCTGGTGACGATTGATCCACCAAGTGAGGCGGAAGTCCGCAAGGAACTCCAACTCTTGAAGCGTTACAAATCACCTGGTCCAGATGACTTACCTCCGGCTCTTTTTAAAGATGGTGGTGACTTTCTGACTAAGGAATTGACGTTGTTTACAAAGGTTTGGGTGTTAGTGTTCCAACGTCATGGAATGAGTCGATAGTTGTCCCTATCTTTAAAAAGGGTTCACATCGTTCCTGCAACAACAAGTTTACTTCCGATTGCGTCCAAGCTATTGGCTTCCGTCATACTTCGTAGGTTGTTCAAAACACGAGAAAGATTGACTCGCGAGGAGCAGGCTGGGTTTCGTTCTGGTCGAGGATGTATTGATCATATCGTCACCCTCCGCCAAATGTTAGAACACCGCCATACTTATCAAAGGCCAACAATCGTAGTGTTTCTTGACATCAGGGCTGCCTTCGATTCGTTGGACAGGACTGTTCTCTGGGATTGTCTATTGAAGAAGGGTGTGTCTGAGAAGTTTAATAACATTCGAAAAGCCCTATATACAAACACCTCAGGCAGAGTGAGGGCATACAACCACCTCTCTCCATTGTTCCACTCGAGCAGTAGGGTTATGCAGGGTTGCCCGATCTCACCATTCCTCTTCAACTTTGCCATCGATGACATTCTGGAAACAGCTCTGATGGATGTAAGTAATGGTGGTGTGGATCTGTTGCCTGGAGAAAGACTTCTCGACCTTGAGTATGCGGATGATATTGTCTTACTGTGCGATGATGCCCAAGCCATGCAATCCGCACTTAATCAGTTGGCAATCAGTGTCCGTAGGTATGGTATGTGCTTTGCACCTTCGAAGTGCAAAGTACTTCTACAAGACTGGCAGGATTCTAATCCTGTACTCACCCTGCATGGTGAGCAGATAGACGTAGTCGAGAAGTTCGTGTGTCTGGGTAGCTGCATAAGTGCTGGTGGGGGTGTGAGTGATGAGATCAATGCACGAATAGTGAAAGCCAGAGCGGCTTCTGCCAATCTGGGCCACCTTTGGCGTCTTCGTGATGTTAGTCTGGCTGTAAAAGGTCGGATCTACGACGCGTCGGTGAGAGCAGTTTTGCTCTATGCTTGTGAAACCTGGCCTGTCCGAGTTGAGGACGTTAGACGACTCTCTGTGTTCGATCATTGTTGTCTCCGAAGGATTGCTGACATCCAGTGGCAACACCATGTCAGTAATGCAGAGGTTCGGCATCGTGTGTTCGGGTACAGAGATGATAATTCAATTGGTGTCACCATCTTGAAACATCGACTTCGGTGGCTTGGATATGTTCCACAAATGTCGTCCCAGAGAATTCCACGTCGTGCATTATTTGCCGACTCTGGGACTGGTTGGAAAAAGCGAAGAGGTGGTCGGTGTATGACATAGAGTCGTGGTATGAAAGAAAGCTACAAAGGACTGGCTTCTGTCGGTCCTTCACGACTCCCTGGTTGGGGTCCGAGAGATGGTGCTACACAGTGGCTAGAGACGTTATCAGATATGGCTCAGAATAGAAGCCAGTGGCGATCTCGCTGTAACCTTCTTTTACTTTCTTCATAAAAAGTGGTTGTCTTCCTTAACTGAAAGATTTCTTCTGATTGTACCTTTCCGTTCCCTCATTATTACTATTATTATTACTACACTACCTTACACCAATCTCTTCGTTATTGTTCTCTTTTTTTGCGCTCCTTACCTTTTTTTCTCTTCGAATTCTCATTGTTTTGTGTGGCGCATATATATTGGCGCTCTCTTGTACTAATATTTGTGTTCAAATAAATAAATAATTAATTAAATAAATATTACCATCATGATCCCTTTATGCTATCTTACTACAAACAAGAAACTCGTACTTTATATCTGGATCTATGAAAACTATTCTATTCGTTATTCTTGATATCAAAAACTGGTCAAATAAATCAACCTATTAAAAACATTGTCAGATCAGCTTTGGTCTAAAGTTTATTTTGGTTGGGTCACGTGAAATCGGCACAGACAGATGTCTTTGAGTTACCTAGGGTATACAATACTTCGAATCATAAGGTCAGTCATAATAAAAAGTCCTGTTACAATTATGCATTTGCCCAAGTCGTCGAACCAACTTAGCATAATGGGATAAAATTTAAAAAGTGGGTATTGAGTGAACAAGAATAATGCAGTAGTAATAATAATGAAGTATTGAAAATGCGGTTCGAAATGATAGATGCCTTTCTCGATCAGAAATCCACATTTGTGATATTTCACATCAAATTTAGGATGAATTTATTTGGGTTCCTGATTTCGATATTTCTATCGATACGTTTACCAATATATACTTAAACGCAAGTTCCAAGTTGACTTATACATGTTCTGGACTGGCTTTACGTATTTTGATATTTGTTAACACATAGAGTATCGACACAATTTGTGATTTTAGCTCGCGTAGTAGTGATTAGTCTTTTAAACGAAATTCTAACGAAGGTAGGTGTGTGTCGGATGACTAAAATAGTATTCCTTTACATACTAACCACTAATGAATAAGACTCTATTTATGTCCAAGATCTGATTGTATTCAGAAATGTCAGATGACTGTTGACAGACAGCATGAACTCGAGAAGGGATGAACCTTAGTTCATTATTATGTTTGTAGGATGTCCAGGCTACCAGCTTTGGTGAAAAATTGACAAATTCAGTGTGAATTTCGCGCAAATCTTGGAAAAATCTGGCAAACACCTAAAAAGTTACACTGCTGTCAAGTTTATACACAAAATCACCACCGGTTTGGGTTCCTTTTTAACCGAAAGTCCACGATTTTTACAAATGTCCTACAAGTGCGGTTCAAGAATTAAAACTTTGAATTTAAGCAAAGTATGCTAGCCCAAACTCCTAACTTTGGGAAAAAACAACAATTTCTAGTAAATTTAGTGAAAATTCCATTGAAAGTTTCGGTAAAAAATAACCAGAGGATCGTTAATGAATAAGGATGGGAATTTTTCCCGAAATCCACCCAAATGTTTCCCAGGTGTAGGATTCTTTCTCAGACTTAACAAGAAGATTCACAAAGCTCAGATGTTTTCCACTATAAACTAAATTTACCCAAGATTTTTATGCACATTGGGAAAATGGTATGAATCACCAATTGAAAATCCAGAAGATCTAACTGGTTGTTTTTTTCTAGAATTGACCCTACAGTTTTCCATGTCCAGGAATTTTGAGGGCAATTCACCAATTTCATAAACACTCTAGTTCATAGATCCTGTCCATTCAAGTAGTATAGACATATGCAAATGTTCTACATTTAGTCCCGTGTACATAGATTTCTAGGACATATATACTTTGTAACGGGATGATCTAAGATCGGCCAAAGCTCCTGGTTAGTAAAGCATCTGTGGTGGCGAAATAAGAAGCAATTTTGAAGCAATATCTTCAGATGCAACAAAACATTTCAATGACTTTGTTCCTACTTCTCAGCTTGCCCCAAAAACACGGTGGCATTACAGTAGGTTACTCACTTCCAAAGAGTATACAAATTTTACTATATTTCATTTTCAGTTAACTGCATACAACATTTGTGAGCGTTGGTATATTCTAATCTTATCTAATGAATATATCTGTATGTATACATAGCGTTTGATAGAAATGATTAACGTTCTCACTTTGGATTTCTAATTTGCAATATAACTGATGCAACCGAACAGGATTAACGAAAGTTCAGCCTCCCGAATCACTCATTTATTTTAATAAACATCCTCATTGATGATATGGAAATCTCATTTAGACCAAAAATGACAATCACGGTGTAAAGTATGGGAAGTGTTTTTGAGAAAGACTACTTGTAGTACGTTTGATAACTTGGCGGTGTAAGATCGTGCGATAGACAGTTTTGGAAGTAGTATTAAACGATAAATACGTTGTACGCAAAAGCTTTCCGCTGCAGCAACCACAGTAAATAGTTAAGCTTCTACACAAACTGAAGTTAATAGAAAACGTGGTTTCTGTCCAGATTATCAGTGTCGATAATGACCTAGCCCCCAAGTGCCCTGGTACAGCTGAGAGTGGGGAGAGTCAGCTCATCCTCGAGAAATGCCTTCACATGACCGCGTATACACAACCACTTTCACGGAAGTCATACTCACTGCACTTTTGCAGCAGGAGTGTGGTTTACGGAATTTAGAGGATGAAAAGCGAATGTCCGGCGCTTTAAACGGGTTAGTGGACACGGAGGATCGACCTAGGGGAGTTGGAAAATCCTTATTTCAAACCAGTCGTGCACATGGGCTCCAGGATCCTGAGGGAACAAATGGCGTATGAACCTATTGTTGGTCACCGGCTACCATGGGACTGCATCTTATGTTGCTTCACTGTCTTGTGGATTAGAATATTAGGTCGAAGGCTCAGGGTGTAGCCCTGTAAGGAAAACGCCTGCTTCAGTCTAGGAGACCAGGTAGTATTCCAGACTCACACGAAACAACTGATTTATGTGGCCCATATGTATACGGTATAAAATAAATAAACTATTAAAATCACAGATCCTTAGTCAGCTACAAGGTAGGACCAGGCACATATGTGCATCGGTCCAGGTTGCCATACCTCATTAGCACAGCAAGATGAACAGCGGATTCATAGGAGTGGTTAGGTCAAAGGTTGCGATAAGGATATAGTATAGGAATAAGAATTAGTTCGTAGACAGAAAGAATGAAGTGATTTTAGTCTCTTAGTTAAGGGAAGACAGGGAGTGTATACACCGACGCCATTGTGATCGATTCAGAGCCATGTCACCAAGGGTCTCCAACCATTGGTTACGATAGTCACGCGGACCCCAACCAAGTAGTCTGCATCTACCAACATGGCTCAGACTAGAAGTTAGTGACTTCAGGCACTGATGCCACGTTTTGGTTTGGCCGCCCCTAACTTTCTTCCAACCATCCCCTTCCCCGGTTAGCATTGCACGTCGTGGTAATCGGTGTTCAGGCATACGTAATACGTGGCCAACCTCTCAGTCGATGAGATCATAACCTCATCAACTGATTTACCATCATTCCCTAATACCCTGAGTCTAACCTCACTATTACTTACCCGGTGATCCCAACAGACGCCAGTAATATTTCTAAGGCATCTGTGGTCAATACTAGTAACTAAGGTGTCTTCTACTCTTAAGGCCATGTTTCGCTGCCGTAATTAAAACAGAACGAACCGCCGCGCAGTATACTCGTCCTTTATTGATAGACGGATATCTCGCCTCGCCAAAAGACGTAAGTTGGCAAAAGCCAAACGAGCTTTTCGAATCCGTGCTGAGATTTCGTCAGACACCAACCCATTAGGGCTGATCAGACTTCCAAGATAAGTGAAGTTGTCAACGCGTTCAACTACTTCACTCCCTATCCTTAGTTCAGGTGTTGACGCAGACCAGTCCTGCAGCAACAACTTGCATTTAGAGGAAGAGAAGCGCATTCCAAACATTCTGGCATTGTTGCTTAGTGCTACCAGAAGACTCTGCATTTTGTCAGCGTCTTCACCAAACAGGACTATGTCATCTGTAAGTGTAAGTGGACCTCCTGGAAGGAGATCAATACCCGAGAATTCAGTCGACTGAATTCGTGTACATATTTCGATCTCATACAGGAAAATTGTATCGTTTGTGAAGTCAGAGAGTGGCCCTCGAAATTATTGAACCTGAGAAAATGTGGGGTACATTCTGGGGACAAAACCAGTAAAATCTTTTGGATTTTCAATTAGCGACTCAGCATTTTCTCAAAGTGCATGAAAATCTTAGATGAGTTTAAGGAATATTTTGTAAACAATCCTCACTATGAGAAACTTTGAATCTTCTTGTTTTTTCTCAAAATTTTCAATGGAACTGTCCCATGACTCATGTATAATCAAATAACTTTGTGCTCAATTTGGGAGCTTGAGGATGTTCTAAGCACATCCAGTTTATGCTTTTTCAACTCGGATTTTTGTGTCAATATACCGTACATATGTCTCTAACTTAGGACTAATTATAGGAAAAGAAATTTCAAAAGTCAGTAACAAAACATTTGTTTAGAGGGCTAGTTTTGCATATATTAGACTGACACCACTTGTGAACATTCACAAGCAAAGATTATTGAAACATTTTCACAGTGAAATCTTAGCTCACGTTTATGATATAAATACTTAGTATCCACACAAAATCTACATGGTAAGACAAAAACACTAACTGCAGCGCCACAATTCAATCAATTGGTAACGTAATGTACGACGCTCAATGCCACTATGAAATGAACCGTTTCACAGTAAATCTTGTATCATTGCTACAGCAATAAACAGGTATTCTTAGAGGAAAAAAAAATTTTAAGAGGGAAAACCATTTTTACAACAATTCAGCTCGAATGCTATTGTATTTATCTAACTACTCTACAAATGCGCTGTCAGTGTTTGTTGCTAAACTGCAGCAATGGTCATTTTTGATGTGATTTTGAACGACTTTGACAGCTTTATGGGTTATTTATGCGTTCGGAAACACATGTGTGCCTTTAAATTTGGGCTAAAAACTGAACTCTACCGGTTATGGAGGCAAGGTGACTCATCACTTTTTACGAATGGAACGAATCCAAGCAAGTGCCGTGATAGAGAATAAAGGTATCAAGTAATAGATCCACAACATTTTGAAGAGTGTCAAACAGAATATGAGTAGATTTTCGGGAATAGTTCAACTCATATTTGACAAAGTTTGAAGTCAGAGACAAGAGGAAATAAATGTACTCTATTTATGAGCAACAACACTCTAAGCATCGTGGGAAATTTTAGACTCAACGCAGTAGTGCTGGTCAAAATTGCTGAGAAAAGCGTGCTTGATAAGACATGCAGGCATAAGTATAATTAGTTCAGCGTGACTTTAGTTATTCAGTATTAACTAGAGCATATTTAATACCGTAAACAAGGAATTAGGTCCACATAGATTTTACTTGTACAAGGCTCCGGTTAGCATTCGTAGCCGTTTACAAACTAAGGATATATATATCGCTGGCTAATAAGTTAAACGTGATATTAACTCCTATTAAGTCGGTTGGCTGGAAATCAAACGTTGAAAAAACTACCTCTGATTAAATGCAGTGAATTTGGGGGTGGTTTTCAAAGTCCATCGTGCCATTGTGCAATGAGAAGTATGTAACATTCATTAAACAAAATTTTCTGACGTTGCATTTGCAAGCATTCTCCAGCTATACACCAAAATAACGAACCCAAATGTAGTGATAACAATACCCCGCTATACTTCCTACCTAATTACTGCTAATGGCCGGTCTATACAATCTCTGAAGATTTTTCCAATTGATAAATTTTATGACGTGATGACGAAACTTAAATATATGAAACATTTTAGACGTGTTAAATGAATATTTGGTTCGTTTGTTTGTCAACTCTCCTCATTACTTAAAACAGAAAATTGGTGACAACTATTTGACTACATGGAATTAACGGCTGCAATTAAACGCAAATCAATTTCGTAAATGTGCCCTTCAGCTTAGCAACCAATCAGGATGAGGCGGGAATTATTACATCCGCCATCTTTGTAAGCAATGGCGGTCGGCTTTCTTAGTTCTGTGGTTCTTTCAGCTATTTCGTTTGTGTAGCTATGTAATTTAATGTCTCAGTGTGCTAAAATGCCGCAGTTAGTGTAATGTTCTATATGTTGGTGTGAAGTTTATTTCGAATCAGCGATGTTTTCTGGGTTTTTGCTGCTTCTTCTCAACTCAGTGTATTTCTTCGGGCAATCTGGCTAGTCTAGTGTTATAAAATGTCGGCCGGCTTTCTTCGTTCTGTGTTTTTTCCGCTATTTATTTTGTGTAGCTACAGAATTTGATGTTTCAGTGTGCTAAAATCCAAAAGTTAGTGTAATACTCTGAAAGTTGGAGCAACTTTTTTCCTGATATTGCTTTGATTTCTGGGTTTTAACTGCTGCTAATGAAGTCAATGTATTTATTCAGCTAAGCAGGCTAGTACTAACATAAGACCTTGGTCAAAGTGACAACAACAACAACAGCAACAACAACAATAATAACAATCTACACTCGGACCAAAATGAGAGAACATACACGCATATGAAGGAGTCTACCAGGAAAACTGAATCTTCACTGGTAAGCATACACCCAGGATTAACACAGGTCGTCTGACCTACTATTATTCTTATTACGGACGACTATACTGCATCCTCAAGGTCGACCGAATTCCCGTCTACTTGATGTTAAATTTAGTTCTCGTGAAAATGTCAGTCATATTCCAACCAGTCCGAAAGCAGTGTATGAACGAACCTGACCATCCTTCTTATCCTGAGATGTTTGTACAATGTCCACCTCTTCTCTGACCATTTGCTTAATCTAAACTCACGTTTTTCATTCTTATTCCAGAATGAGATTATGTTCACCAAATCAGCCTTCATGACTAACGTAAATGGCTGACTGACTAACGTTTTCCGTCATTTTACTCCTTACTTTCATCATCCTTCCCATAAATGACATTGATTTCGAACACACATTCTTGATTGATTTACAGTCACCTGACTCGATTGACTTTTTCTATTCAAATTTGAATGGGAATAGTCTAAACATATGTCAAGTCTATATAATATCAGTCTAGCGCGATGATAATCAGTTTGTAAAAACGCATTTGCTGAGCGGTCTAATTATATAACGCTCGCAAATAAGTGATTATATCTATGGACCGTCATATAGATTGTGGACAAAAGTGTCTCAATGATTGCTATTACCACTATTTCTACTGCAACTACTACTACTACTGCTACCAATACTATCATTGTGATTACTACTATTATTACTACAATTATCACTATTACTGTTACTGCAACTGTTGTAATTATTATTATTATCACTATTCTACAAAAGAACCTACTGATTATGACAAACAAATAAAAGAAAAAAACACGGTTTTTCATGGAAGACGCACACCATCAGGCAGCAAAATGCCAAACAATGATTTGAAGCTATGCAAAACCCGGACATGTTTAAAACGTCCAGGCCAAGCAATCAAAAAGCCTGGACGTCATGTCCATTTTGTAATATAAAAAATGAAAATAAATTTTCTAACTATTCACATTTGTGTTTTTGATTGTTTCACCGGTCAATAGTGTATGGGGTATCGTACGTGTTACTGTGGGATGAATGTAAATCGCATGGAATTCTCATGAATAATAAATTCCAGGAAGTCGACCATGTCAGAGCACATATTCTAAGGAATCTCGAGTACTGAGCGTTCACGACAGTATTTGATCTTGGATAAACAGGAGCAGCAATAGTAGAAATAGTGGTAGTAGTAGTAGTAGTTTTTGAAATAGCAGTATTTCGAATAGCAGCAGTAGTGGTAGTAGTAGTAGTAGTGATATTATTATTACTATTATTGTTATTATTACGAATATTAACGTTAGTCAGTGAATTTCCTCCATGAATGGATGTTCATCATCTACTCTTATTGGATCACTTGATTTTATTTGTTTTTGCAACCACTTAGGTACATGTTCGCGCACCCTAATTTGGAGATCACGATTACTCCTCCACATGTATATGTGGCCACACACACATTCAAATCGATAAACACAGTGGCATGTGACGCAATCGTTTCCATGTCTTTTACGTTTTTGCTGAGACATGGACATTGTTTTCTCTTTCATAAAGACCTTTGCTGCGTAATACGTCCTGTTAACAACTTATTTAAGCCTTTGTTTCAGTAAAACGCTATTTGAATCACCTCTAAATCGAAAAATGATGTAGACAGGTTTCTTTCTGCCAAGGTTATAGTAGGCCCCAGTATACCGTGACCTTTCCATCTATTTATGAATTTTAAGGGATAGCCAGTTTCCACTAGTGTTTTGTTTAACAACCTAACGTCCCCATCAATAGCGTCGTTTGTGCGAACACGATTAATTCTATTAAACAGACCGCTCATCGAACCTCATTTGTATTGCACCGGGTAGTAACTATTGTGACCAAGGTATTGGCCCGTCAATGTTGGTTTTCGAAAGATGGATCGTTTGCTTGAACCATCTTCTCGTCTACTTATTAGCATATCTAAGAAGAGAAACCGATCATTCTTCTCCTCTTCACATGAGAGGCTGATGTGATTCTGCAGAGTGCTAAGTCTACTCAATAAACAATCCATATCGTTATTTCTTTCCCAGATAACTAAGATGTCATCTTCATATCTCTTATAAACAGACATGTTTACGACTAGGTCTTCAGCTAGATTTGCAACGTGTGTTATGAACACGTCTGCTAATAATGGTCTAATGGACCAACCATAGCAACCAGTCGACCTGGCAAAACTATTCACCTTCAAACATGAACTGGACGTTGTCAATACATAGTAGTGCTAAATCTTTAAGGATTTTTAAAGGAACAGGTATTTTTTTAAGGCTGTTCAAAGATATGTGGTCACATAATATATCAACAGTCGTTTTCAGTGGTATATTTGTGAACAGGGAATTCACGTAAAATGAACACATTGTCTTTCTCTTGATATTAATATCACTTCAATGATCGACCAACTCAAAAGAATCCTTCACAGAATACTTATATAAACGTGTTCCAACAGGATCCAGTAATTTAGCTTGGTTATGTGTAGGTGATCGACGCACTGATACAATTGGGCGTAAACAAATGTTTGGTTTGTGAATTTCAGGTAATCCATGTAAATGACGATACTCAGAACCAATAGGCTTTAGGAAATTAAATTCCTCTCTACCAATAATATTCATGTGTAACAGTTTCACTAGGTTTGAATTTATTCTTCCCTCTACTTTGCTAATACCTGCAAATTCACCATCAGGCATAAATTTACTTTCATCACTGAGAATGGATAATGTCTTACTTTTACATTCACATTTGTTCTTGACAATCACGCCTGATCTTTTATCAGGCTTTAACAAGACAATATCAGGGTTTGTTCGTACTTATTTTAGTGATTTAAAATACTGAATAGTTAATATGCTTCTCTGCTTTGGTCCACGATTAAGGAATTGGTGAGCTATATTCAACAGTTTAGCTTTGTCTCAGCTTTGATTATTTAAAGACGTAGGGGTTAGCGTACTCAGTTGATCCAGTATCCGACACTGGATGTCAATTAGTCAAGTAAGAACAGGTGAAATCCTACATCCACATAAAAACTAATTCATGCCCTCTGCTAAACCAACAAGTTCGAACGTGACACGGATACATATTCATCAAACTTTAGTTATTTCGAC